CGTGGAAGACTACTAAGCCATACGAAGAATGAAATAATGCCATTTGCAGCAACATGGATGGGCCTGGAGACGGTCATACCAAGTGAAGTCAGTCAGAGAGAGAAACACAGACCATAGGATATCACTTTTATGAAGAATCTAAAATACAGCACAAATGAACACAGCTACAAAGCAGAACCGGATTCACAGACGTAGAGCACAGATGTGTGGTTCCCCAGGCGTAGGGGTTGGGGAAGGGAAGGACTGGGAGTTGGGATTAGCAAATACAAGCTAGTATACATAGGACAGATAGACAATAATGTCCCACTGTATAGCACAAGAAACTACATCCGATATAGAAAATGAAGAAGAGTCAGGGGAGGGATAGTTAGGGAGTTTGGGATTGACATGTACACATTGCTATATTTAAAATGGATACCCAATAAGGATCGATGGTATAACACAAGGAACTCTGCTCAATATCCTATAACAACCTAATTGCAAAGAGAATTTGAAAAGCAAAAGATACATGTGTATGTATAACTGAGTCACTCTGTATGCCTGCACCTAATGCAACACTGTTAACCAACTGTACTCCAACATAACATAAGAAGTAAAAAGTCTACGGTAGTCTTAGTAGATATTTGTTAGGTATGAAAAAACCTGTTATTAAACCATAATGGGAAATAATATGAAAAATTATATATGTATAACTGAGTCAACGCTACACAGCAGAAACTAAATACGCTGTAAATCAACTATAGCTCAATGAAACTAAAAAATACTGATGCAGTGTAGCATCTAATCAGTGACATTAAGCAAACACAATTCTTATTGAAAAAGGCCATATTATTCTGATACTAGAACTCACACTGGTTTCACCACTAAGAAATACCCCTCCCAATCAAAAGCAATAAGACACCCCCAGAGGTAGGTGTTTGAAAAGTGCTAAATGCTTTAAGAACACTCTGTGTGTTATGAAAAAGTTCAGGATCCAACTCCCCACAAAATAAGGGGTGAAACACACAGCAGAGCCCGTGGGAAACAGCTCTGCATTCATGAGTCTGCAGTGTTTAACTGGGCACGTGTACAAAAAAAGAATGTCCTGTTTGGTTTGTGCCTATGTTTATTTTATCAAAAGACAGTTAAAGTATGATGGGTAACACAAAATAAATAGTAGAAAATGTTAAAGAAATACACAGATCAAAACTGTTGTTTTTGTTGTTCAGTTGCCCAGTCGTGTCCGACTCTTTGCCATCCCATGGACTGCAGCACACCAGGCTTCCCTGTCCCTTACTACGTCCCGGTTTGCCCAAGTTCATTGCATCGGTGATGCCATCCAGCCATCTCATCCTCTAACACCCTCTTTTCCTTCTGCTCTCAATCTTTCCCAGCATCAGGGTCTTTTCAGATGAGTCAGCTCTTCGCATTAGGTGGCCAAAGTATTGAAGTTTCAGCTTCAGCAACAGTCCTTCCAATGAATATTCAGGATTGATTTCCTTTAGGATGGACCGGTTTGATCTCCCAGCAGCCCAAGGGACTCTCAAGAGTCTTCTCCAACACCACAGTTCAAAAGCATCAATTCTTCGGTGCTCAGCTTTTTTTATAGCCCAACTCTCACACCCATACAAGACTACTGGAAAAACCATAGCCTTGACTAGGCAGACCTTTGTTGGCATTGCTGTTTTTTTACCTGGTATTGCTTTCTCTATAATCCAGCAGATGTTTTCAATTTGATCTCTAGCTCTTCTTCCTTTTCTAAACCCAGCTTGGACACCTGGAAATTCCTGGTTCACATAATGCTGAAGCCTAGCATGTGAGATTTTAAGCATGATCTTACTAGGATGGGCGATGAGTGCAATGGTCTGATGGTGAGCCCATTCTTTGGTACTACCCTTCTTGGGTACTGGGATGAGGATTGACCTTATCTAGTCCTGTGGCTACTGCCAGGTGTTCCAGATTCACTCACATAACGAATGCAAAACCTTGATGGCATCATCCTTTAGGAATCTGAGTAGTTCTACTGGAATTTCATCACATCCACTAGATTTATTAACAACAGTGCTTCTTAAGGCCCACTTAGCACTCCAGAATATCTGGCTCTGCGGGACTAACTATACTATCGTAGTAATCCAGTTCATTAAGATTTTTTTTTATACAGTTCTTCCACGTATTCTTTCCATCTCTTCTTGATCTCTTCAGCATCTACTAGGTCTCTACCATTTTTATCCTTTACTGTGCCCATCTTTGGGCAGAATGCTTCTATGATGTTTCCAATTTTCCTGAAGAGATCCCTAGTCTTTCCCCTTCTGCTGTTTTCCTCTATTATTAAGCATTGCCCACTGAAGAAGGCCTTCTTGTCTCTTCTAGCTATTTTTGTAACTCTGCGTTTAACTGGATATACTCCGTCTCTCCCTTGCTTTTCACTTCTCTTTGTTCTTCTGCTATTTGTAAAGCCTCCTCAGATAACCACTTTGACTCTTGTGTTTCTTTTTCTTTGGGATGGTTTTGTTCGCCACCTTCTGTACAATATTACAGACCTTTGTCCATAGTCCTTTAGGCACACTGTTAACTAGATCTAGTCCCTTGAATGTATTTATTACCTCTACTGAGAATTCACGTGGGATTTAAGTCACACCTGGCTGGCTTCTTGTTTTTCCCAGTTTTCTCTAGTTTAAGCCTGAATTTTGCTATGTGAAACTGATGATCTGTGCCACAGTCAGCTCCAGGTCTTGTTTAGGCTGACTGGATACAGCTTTTCCATCTTCAGGTACAAAGAATATAATCAATTTGATTTTGGTATTGACCATGTGGTAATGTCCATGTGTAAAGTTGTCTCTGTGTTGTTGAAAAAGGGTATTTGCTATGACTAGTGCATTCTCTTGGCAGAATTCAGTTAACCTTTGCCCTGCTTCATTTTGTTCTCCAAGGCCAAACTTGCCTGTTACTCCAGGTATATCTTGACTCCTTTTGGATTCCAATCGCTGATGATGAATAGAACATCTGTTCTGGGTGTTAGTTCTAGGAGGTCTTCTAGGTCTTCATAGAGCTGATAAACTTCAGCTTCTCCACCATCCAAGGGGCATAGACTTGGATTACTGTGATGGTGAATGGCTTGCCTTGGAAACGAACCAAGATCATTCTGGCATTTTTGAAGTTGCACCCAAGTACTGTATTTCAGACTCTCTTGCTGATTATAAGGGCTACTCTATTTCTGCTATGGGATTCTTGCCCACAATAGTAGATAAAATGGTCAACTGAATTAAATTTGCCCATTCCCATTCATTTTAGTTCAGATGCCTAGGATGTCGATGCTTATTCTTACTATCTGCTGCTTGACCACATCCAATATTCCTTAATTCATGGACCTAACATTCCAGGTTCCTAGGCAATACTGTTCGTTGCAGCATCAGATTTTACTTTCATCACCAGACACATCCATAACTGAGCACAGTATCTGCTTTGGCCCAGCCATTCATTCTGGGGCTTCATTCATTCTGGGGCTATTGGTAATTCTCCTGCAATCTTCCCCAGTAGCATACTGGACACCTGGGGGACTCATCTTTTGGGCCTTTTATACAACTCATGAAGTTCTCACAGCAAATACACTGGGATGGTTTGCATTCCCTCCTCCAGTGGATCCCATTTTGATCACAAATCAAAATACTTCATCTAAAATGCACTGCGTTATAGGCTTTTCAGACAAATTTCAAGGGCTGTGAGTGGAAAAGCCAGTAGATGGGCAGGGGCCTCTCTGAGATCAGGGATAAAGAACACCCCTGGAGGGACTGAGAGAGGTAACTGATGAGCAGACAGACTGATACACAGACAGACAGATAACCCGGCCAGGAAGGAAAGGAAGTGAAAAGTCAAGACACTGCCACAGAGCCACTTACATGACTGCTAACATGATACAGGGGTCAAGCTTTCCCTCTGGAAGGTACAGACCTGGTTTCTAATTCATTTTAAGTAAAGTCAGTTTATGAATAAGCCCAAAAGAGCCTGGACCTCAAGACGAGCAGGGTGTGATGCCATGGACCATATGAACAGGCATGGGTCAGCCAAGTGACACCACGGAGCAGGTGGAAAGCGTGAAGAGAGTCAGCTCCTGCTAGAGGAGAGCTGGGCTTAAAGGGGCTCCATGTAAATGTCCCCATTCATGGGACAAAGCCGGGAACCATCTCAGCTCAATGAGGAATCACTCATGCTTCTCTTTACACTGTCGATCAGCCTGTATCTCAGAGTCTGTGTGGAGCAGGCCTGCGGTTGCCCAGGGGAGCTCAGCTTCTGGAAGAGCCCAGAGCACGCTGACCATCCTGACCACAGCAGGATGTCACTCTTCTCAAACCCCATCCAAATAATCTTATTCCATGTCACACTTTAAGCCAGGAAACCTGTCAAATAATGTCCTGGCCCCTGGAAAGGGAGGGTCTGATATTTCAAATAGTGTTTCAAGGCACATCATCAGGCAGATGAAGGAAGAAGCCCAGAGGGAGATGCCAGCTACAAGGATGCAGGCTATGCCAGTCACCACGGGATAGTCAGGTGCAAGGACACTGCTCCGAAGGCTCCACAGATACAAGGCCTCCCTAAATAGATATTATGTCATGTAGAAACCAACTTCTAATGCAAATACCTTCTCAGCTTTGCTGTGAATGTAGATTATTTGGGCACCTATATTACATTAATATTATGTGTCATCCCTATCCTAAACACACTTCAGATTTCTTACAGTGCTTGCAATTTTCTCATTAAGCAATCATGTTCTAAATTTCAAAGCTAATGATAAATGTTAATCAACAAGTCTAAGCCTTTAAGAACTGAAGGTACAAAAATAGTTTCTGATCTTCCCTAATTGAAGCAGTGTAGCATCTCACCTAGACTTCTAAATAAAGCTTACATTTTCACCCTGAGCCATCTTGTTGCTAATGCCACAAGCTTGAAGTATGACAGTGCACACAGGGACCTTCCAGAGAATCGACAGGTTCATTTAGCTGGTCCATGCGATGCCCTGTCCCTACCTTTTCTGATGTCTTGTCTTGCACGGGTGGCCCTGTGCGGGGCAGGGTTGGAGGAGGGGGTGCCCGGCGCTTCTTCAGGTCCGACTTGACTGACACCCCTGAGATGTTGCCAAGAGAGAGGGATGGACCCAGGATAACAGAACGTGGATTCACACATGGGGAGTTCGGGGTCGTCAAGCAGCCCTATTGGAGGAAGAGACAAACATAAAACCCGCATTACTCCAAGATGCTTCTCAGTGCACAAATGTTCAGAGATGAGAACTGAGCACCCAACACCCACCAGAGCTTCTCCATCATCGTTTTCACAGACAAACAATGTTTGAATAACGAGAGCAAAACCCTTCTATTTTCACTGTCCCGGGAAAATGACCACAGACCCCATTACAGGACAGGTTCCTGGTATGAGGTTTATTTTGCTAATCATGAAGGAAACAGCAAGACTGCAGCAAGACTGTTTAAACCTGTACGAGGAATTCTTACCAGCTAGAATCATGAAAAATTCTTGACCCACCTACAGTGATGAATTTGCCTCCTTAAATTTGTGACCTGTCATCAGACTGAGTACTTAGATGCTGAAAAGGGGGAAGGAACAGATCAATGGGTAGAAGCAGCGCATCTTTGCATCTGGAGCATTTCACCCATTGCCTGGAAGGGGCTTAGGTTTCTCCTAACTGAGAAGTTTCAAATAGTTGACAAGGTAGTGTAAATAGCCTGCCATGGATATTTCATGTGACCATCAAATGCAGTACTTCATGACATATCCCTAATGAACTGAATACAAATTCGACCTAACAGCCTAGTTAATTGCTCCCAAGGAGCAACGTCTACATCCAGGGAGCAGACTAAAGGCATGTATATGCATTATTTTCAGTTTTGCCTCCTAGGTTCTGTTTAGGGGAATAATGCAAGTGTTAGTGCGGGGAAGAGCATTTAGATAAGTAGCAGTCTAATTCCAAATTAAAACTGACATGGATACCCATCCCTTACTCTGCTACGCCCTCTGTCCTGCCCTGGCCCTCCCCAGAACCAGCATCTCCACTCCATGGGGTCCACACTGAGGGCCAACGCAGTGGAGTGGTCAGTCCACAGATGGTGGGACACACTGCCTGGACTCGTGACTTTGCCACTGATAAGCTGTGGCCTTGGAGAGGTTTCTTAACTTCTCTCTGCCTCAGTTTATCTCCTGCAAAATTGAGGTCAACAATAGTACCTACATCCCAGAGAAATGGTGAGAACTAAATGGGTTACAATAGGTGAAAGAGGCTTAGAGAGTTCACAGCACAAAGTGAGCATCCAGTATGTGCTATTATGGTTATTACGCATTTGTACAGGTTTTTTTCTCCCCCGTTACTGTGTGAGCCCCATGAGGACAGCGATCATTCCCTATTCGCACTTATAGCCGAGTCCCAGGCTCCCAGCAGCTCCAAGGGCCCAGTTACCCTGTGTGACCTTGAGTCCACACAGGTAGGAATCAGTGGGTAGGCAAATCTGCCTTTATATTTCACATAAGGAACTTGTGGGTGAGCCATCAGCTCACCACATTTGAAATAAATATAGAAAGAAAACTCACCACTTTCAATAGCAGCCCTGTATGACCTGCCCTCAGCCTATTCTGTTCTGCCAATTACACCATTATTCAGTTTCCTGAGATTTTTGAGACTCAGATTTTCTTGTACTTAAGTATTAACATCAAAGGAAAACTGAATCCCTGCTTCTTATGCTTATTCATGCTTTCTTGTGAGATGCTATCAAATGCACTGCTCATCAAAAGCAGAGTCCCCATAGCAGGTCAGGGACCCACAGGAAAGAGCCTTACACCCAGAAAACTAAACCCAGGCTCCCAGAGAAAAATGTAAAGAAAAATGGTCGGAGTTTTTCCCAGTCCTCCGGTTCTGCAGACATCAGATGTATACTAAGCGGTCACTAAGTCATGTCCAACTTTTTAGTGACCCCATGGACTGCAGTCCTCCAGGTTCCTCCATGGGATTTCCCAGGCAAGAATACTGGAGTGGGTTGCCATTTCCTTCTCCAGGGGATCTTCCTGACCCAGGGATTGAACCCACATCTTCCGCATTGCAAGCAGATTCTCCACCACTGAGCCACTGGGGAAATCTCCTACTAAGCAAGTAAGCCAATGCAAAATGAACTCTTAAATACTTCCATCTACCTTACACATACCTCCATTGCAACTGTGAACACAGAAAAAGACAAAAGAACTTAAGTGCACTCAATAATGCTGGGTGTGGGTGGTAAATGAAGCAAGCCAGTGCAAGGACTGGGCTGACCCAAGTCTGGAGCTGGGCATGCATTACACTGAAGGGCTGGCCTGCTCGCATGCCCCCACCCCATTCGAGGGATACAGACTCACGCTGCGGAGGTTTGTTCAGGCCTGTGAAGCACAGCAGAGAACTCTACCCACTGCCTGCCTCTCTGGAGCGTGCCCAGACCCACTGGCATCCCTTGAACATGGACGTTGTGGCAGGGTGGCTCGCATCCCTGACCCTAATTGCTTTTCTCCCCTCTTCCCTGTCTACGCTGGGAACTCCCAGTCCTTCTTGCCTCAGTCCTCCCCACAACGACGCCTGCCTGGCAGAAACCTCAGGATCTCTTTGAACTCACTTCGGTCCCTTCAGTGCCCCGAGTATGTTCCCAGCTCTGTGCAGACACTGTTAAAAGCACTTCACAGCGCATCTAGTTTATATCTATTTCAGGCCGTTCCTCTATAATGCTGCTGCCTTCGAGCACTGGGACTTCTGAGTCTGTCAACTCTTTCCTGAAGTGGGGGGGGGGGGGCGCTGACTCAGTGCCCACCCTGCACACACAGGCAGGAACGGCTCCACCTGTAAAATGAGGGACCTTCCACTTACTTCAAAGTTGCTGTCAGCACCCAGCGTGTTTCTGTCACATCAGATCTGTCTCACATATGTGGTTTCCCTCTCCTTTGGTAAGTATTTTTTGGTAAGAATGATCTCATCAGGGCCACGGAGAGATGGTCTTGACAGCAGAAAGTTGGAGCCCAGGGCCACCTATCCTGGCTTTCTCCAATCCTGACACCTGTTATTGATGGGCTTCACAGTATCTGCGTCTCTGGAACAGAACTGAATTCTGACATAACAGGTTTTTAGCCAAGTCTGCTCTGTAGAGCCACACGCCTCTCTCCCTAACCCACCCCCACCTTTCACACCCCCAATATCAGTGTACCCTAGTTCTGAGACCACCAACCCCTCTCAACACTGAAGCACAATAATGCTTCTCAATGTTCAATCGAGGGGCAGCCAAAACATCTTGGCTGCCCAGAGGATATTTGTGGTCTAACTCATTTCCTTCTTTCCCCACTCCTGGAAATTGCGCACACAATAAAGAAAAAAAGTCCACAGAATAATTTGGATAGAGACATTGTTTTTTAAGTATGGATGCCGTTTAAGAGGCTGATTCATATCAGTGTAAAATAAAATGCTAAACCACGCTGTGGTCCATGTAGGCTGGGGTCTAGACAGCCTAGTCCACACTCTCCTATTCCAGTGTGGGGTTTTCTCCTGCTGCACAGTGGCCAGGTTTCATGGGAAACAGACCACAGCTTGCCTGCAGGAGGGATCTCATTTCCTGCTCTTGTCCAAACTGTTCAAAAGCATTAAAAAAAAAAAAAAATCAAATCCTTTTCTAGGTGGGGAATGAGTCATACCTTCCTACAAAGGTTGACAGAAAAATTCACAGGTTCTGGCTTTCATAGTCACATCAGATTTTCTTAGACTTTTTCTCCCGTGATGGAAGCCCAATAAACCATTAAGAAAGAGCAATGGATAATGAAAACAGGAATAAAGCAAACCCACTGACAGGGCCCACAAGGGGTCTCATTGTTAAGATGGCTCATTATGTTGACCTTGCAAACAGAGAATAAAATCAGTGATCCTTAAGATGGACTGAATTGCCCAAATGACATTCTGTTTCCTCACTGGCGCCTACCTTCTCAAAGCCACGAGACCACCAGCTACAAGCTCCACCAGGAGGTCCAGACCTCCGGCTCCGTGACCACAGGACTCAACTGTAGGCTAAAACTTGACCGTCCCTTCAGAGAAGTTTTCATTGGCGGGGTATAAGAAAGACCCTGTCAGAAAGGGAGGACATGGCTCTCCTTAAGGGCCAGTCACCCTCTCGTTTCCCTCTAATAAACTCCCCTTTTCTTGCCTGAATGTCTGGCTCGCTCTCTTTTTCTCTGCATCTGCCTTACACCAACCTTTAGGACCCAGAACTCATGGGACTTCAGACTGCGGGGTGTAGGGCTAATCAGATGGGAAACAGTACTAATGCCATGAATTCACACCACCACTGACAGCCTATGAATTTATTACCTTCAGGATAAAATGATAAGATGGGACTTCACTGGTGGTCTAGTGGCTCAGATTCCAAGCTTCCAGTTCTGGGGGCCTTAGTCAGGGAACTAGATCCTGCATGCTGAAACTAAGAGTCTGCGTGCCACAACTAAAATTACACAAGCTACAACTGAAGATCCCATGTGCCTTCACCGAAGATCAAAGATCCCACGTGCCTCAACTAAGACCCGGCGGAGCCAAATACATAAATAAATACTAAAAAAAATTAAGATGATAATTTGACCCCATCTCACACACACAGCTGGATGGGGAGGATTGGGAAACATCTTTGGGATCTGTTGATTTTGTCATAGATATCTAATTTTGAATTAAATACATGTATTTGTTTTTGTTTGAAATGTACTCCGTATTCTGGTGAATCCTGATCTCCTTCTGTTTGTCAATGCAGCCAGAACGACATTCTGCACTCGTTTCAAATGTTGACTGAAAAATAATGCATAGCCGAAAAGTTCAGATTTATGTTTTATTCAGCGGACAAAACTGAGGACTTAAGCCTAGGACACAGCCCTTCTGAGAGCTCTGAGGGACTGTTCAGAAGAGCTAAGGTGGGAGGAGCCAGAATATATAGGGATTTTTGCAACTCGGAACATCAAAAGATTGCCGTTAATTAAGGAAAACCAGACATCACGCTTTTCTATGTATGGGAAGATGCAAGAGTCTGGCTCACCCCTCGGCAATCATTCCTTCGAGATCTAGCTCAGCTGTCTGGAGCCAGCTTCCTGTGGAGTTTTCTCATCCTGAGTCTTCTCAGCGTTCACCTTTGGGGTGGCTCCAGTGTCTGCTGGTTTAATG